AGCATCTATGCACCAAGTTTCATCAAAAACCGATGTATGGTTCTTGAGATAGCAGTGGAACAGTCGGACACACATACACACATACACACACACATACACACATACACACATACACACATACACACATACACACATACAGACACACTAACTGCAAAGACTCCCATTTTGTGCTTCGCACATGGGAGTCAAAAAGTTTGTTGTAAAATTGTTAACACATGATGCTCATAATGTCAGGGTTTTATGGCCAACATTTTATTCACTAGTCTACATATGCCTTATGGCTTTGAGAAATTTTCAGGATTACTTTATGTGATACATCAGAATACATATTTTGTTATAGTGTTATATGTCACTTGATTGTATTGATCAAATTGAGATCTGAAAGCTCTCTTATTTTCTTTGATGTTTTGTGAGTTCTTTGGTTAACACATCACAGTATCATTTGTAGTTCTTACCTCAATTTCATTCCTGACTTTCTTATTTTTATCTTCCTGCAATGCCACACCTCTGAGAGTGACTTTTAAAGCAGCACCTCCATGTACAGCAGGTCTTGTTATCAGCTGCCATGTCTCACTGAATATACCGGCATTGGGTGACTTGAACACAAATGGAAACTTGAGAGTATCTCCAGGAAGTAAGACTCCACTGCTGGTGTTGAAGTAAAATCTCTGTACATTACCACTCAATACAGTCTCCAATGGATTGGATTTGGGGATTAACTACAAATAAACAGGAAGCAAACAAATTAGTATTAATAATTAAATTATTACAAAAATTTAGAATTCAAAACACACAGTTTTTGTAACAAGCAACTGCAGAACATAGCCCCTGTTAATTGTTAATTTTGAATGACATAAAAAGCGCAATCTAATAAATTGTGTTATAATTTGAGAAATGTTTGACCAATAACTTCAGACATGTCATACAAATAATAAACATTCCAATAAATTGAGTTTTTTATTTTACCAATAGCAATATAAAAATTCACGGCAAATAGAAAATTTAATTTAGCCCCCCCCCCCCCAAAAAAAAAACATACAAAATTTGATTGAAATCTGTCAGTAACAACACACATACCCACCCAAAGACATGGGTCAGCCTATTAGGCCTCAATTCATCTTACGCACGAGCAAGGTTAATAATAATATACAGTTAAATTTAGCTAATATAAGTAATACTTTGCTTTCAGCATGTTACAGTACCTTCCAATCATAGTAGATAGTAGTTGTACCATCGTTCACTAGCTGCAAACAAGATGTAATCCTTTCACCAGCAAATGCTTCAAATGTCACTCTAGCAGTGTGTGCTATATCATCCTTGTGTGTACAGCTATCACCAGTCCATCTAGCAGGGAATCCATCAAACAACAAGGCAGGTCCAATTACCTGATGTGGTATGTCTGGTTGGTCACGCAATGGGTCCCTGAAGTAAAGTATTATTATTAATCATGTTATACATTGCACATCGGAGAATGATTTCATACCATATTTACACTATTAGAAATACAGTATACCATATTAGCTCTATCAGCAGGGTCAGATCTAGGCATACACCAACTTATACACCTGTGTGACAGCACTCAGTGTCAAAACCACTAGTTAGGGGTGCACATTCAATAGAAGCACACCTCTGCAATGTACGCATGTGCTACTAATAACAAATGCAGTGTATTTCTAATAGAATTGCATATGTAAATTGAAATGCTAATTTTGACTGAGAAGCAAATACAGTCACACCTCACATAAATGTCCTCTATTCGAAAAACACACATAAGGCCAGACTTTTATTATCCCTTGTTTCGCGAACCCGCCAAATGAACAGGAGCCAAAAATGAAATAAAAATATCATTTTATTTCAGCATAATTTCTCGCATCCGCCGACTTGTTAGTGCAAAAAATTGCTAAAAAAAAAATTATTTTTATCTTTTTTTTTCTCGCCCGCCCATAACAAACCCAAGTTGCATTTTCGTGGGAGTATCATGATCAAAGTCTCGCGCAGATGAGAAACAAGGTTATACATGGAATAAATTTTATTTGGTTTCTTCTCTCCGATCAATGATCTCACTTACAATTCTTTGAGAATCACACAAATCTAATGGAAAAAAAGAATTAATTTTATTTTTTTTCTGCCCTCCTCAAAAACATTGCCTTATAAAAACTGGAGAAACAAAGAATAAAAAAAGTCTGGCCTAACCGAAAAAAATATTTTGGGGTTGCATCAAAAGTGCCACCAATCAATGTTTTAGACACACAATGTATACAGTATACCGGTACTATGAATAACTTACAAGTTGTCTTCTTCTGGCATTTCAGTTATAGTTGCATCCTGTAAAGATTCCTGTTCATCATCTTCATTCAGTCTCACAGGCTTATTACTTCCAACAACTTGCAGATAATCCATTTCCTAGAAGAGAAATGTATTACAGTCCAAAATCAAAGTATATTATGTGATCAACACGGATCACAAATCACGGATCTCAATGACTTTCGCAAAATTTGTTCTTCATGAGTTCCTTAAAATCCTCAATCATATACTTATACTTGAAATATATACAGAAGTCAAGATGTTATAAATTATATTTTGTCCAACTGCATGGATTCTGCAATACAGAGGTAAAGGGAAGCTGATATAGTAGTATATCTGCATGAAGTTACATATTCAACATTAACTGACCCCATTTTTATGCACATGGAAACTAAACTACGGTGCCAGGAAATCCTAAACTCCAGTAAAACAAAGTTATCTAAAAAATGTGAGATTGGACAACAGTACTCTATTCAGACAAAATACATATAGCTTATAACCCACCACCAGGTGGCGCTAATCACTGAAGTCAGTGGAAGTGTCACATAACAGTGTGTATTTGTATATATTCCAATACACCAGTAGATCAATGCATGACATTTTTTTGTTGGTGTGTTGCTTACAATTTTTTTCAACAAGTCTTCCATGCTTGGTGAAACTTACAGGTTTGTGTGGATCCAATTCATTCATAACTTGTTCTATCTGCTGCTTCCTATGATGTAAATACTGAGATTTCTTCCATGGGTAGTTGACAGGTGTAGTTCTACCACACTCCCAGCTTGTACCTTTCTCTTTCTGTACAACATTAGGATTGCCAACATGCTCAATAGGTGGTGGGTATCCTCGCTCAGTCTGCAGCAGTGTCATCTGTATACCAGTAATATCATCACCAACCTTCTCTACTTGCTTCCAGAACTCACTACCAACACGGTCTGCAAGAGAGATTAATGATAATGATTAAGTGGTTCAGAATAGAATGGTGGATTGACACTATGATAAAGTGGGGAATCTTGATACAAGTTTTGACAATGTTACCATTTACTGTGAGTGTTTTTTGTATTTATAAGTTTTTTATTTGGTAGTTCAAACCACAGTCCCTCTATTACGACTGTGTTCAAACTAACATTCACCTTGACATTTTGGATGGTGTTTTGGGTTAATGATAGCATGATCAGTGAGTCTGAATGGGATTGAGAATGTCACAGAGTCAATACCATCAGCGCTTACTTTCAGCAAGTTAGTCCAGACTGAAAACGTTTTATTTATGTTGGGGAATCACTATTTGATTTAAATACCGGTATACTGTTTAGGACTTAATTATTCACTGCAATTTTTTTTTGCCTACCCAGTGAATGTGGAAAGTAAACAAAATAATCTACTGTTTTCTTCACAAACCAGTAAATCAGTAAATATCCCTGCAACACTGAATGCACCGAAATTAAACCCAGGGAATATTACTCCCTTTCCAGTATTCAACCAAACATAGTACAGTATACCAAAAAATATTAGATTACAATTATGCCAGCGATTAATTTCCACACATTATCAAGACATTTCCTGTACATGTGTTGTGTACTTACATCCCTTGCCGTAGTCCACAGCTGGTATAGATCTATCTATCAAGTATCTTTCTTCCTGTATCTTTCTGTAATCCTCAGCTTGATTCATCACTAAATGTTCTACTGGCTTCTGCAGTAACTCTGTAAATTTAGACAAGAATATGTGTTTAGTAGCACATACATGTAAGAAATTTAAGAAGGGCATGTAATCTATGTATATCTATTCAAAATTGTAAATATGAGTGACACACTATGTATTATGCTGTAAATGCTGTATAATTTTAAATCGTAACTTTTATAGCAATTAAGACATAACTTTTTAGAGCAAACCTGATTATAGTGTATTTAATTGTCTCAACTTGTAAAGTTGTTAATAAATGAGCATTCTAAAATCAAAAAAAAAAAAAAAAAAAAAAGGGGGGGGGGGGCATGTATGTAATGCAAAATTAATTCAGCAATACCACAACTCAGCAGACCTATTGAAAAAGACAAGTGAGCCAAAAATAGCTCTTCTATCACAAGAGCAGAAATTTCTGCAAAATTGTCTATTCAGTAGGGGATTATCCATCTCGGCACATGCCAAGTTTTGATTCTGACTCTTTTTTGGGACTGAGATCAAATTTTCTTCCTGATGGTTTACATGCACATTTTGGTATATCCAAGTCCAACTCAATTCTGACTCTCGGCACATGCCGAGCTCTGTAACGTGAATGCCACTAATGAGCATTCATGAATTGCCTTGGATATATACCACTTTTATGGCATGATATATAAGATAAAAGTACCAACAACTCTTCAAGCTCTGTGTATTCTCAAAGACATCTTCATTTGGTTATTATGCCATACTCATCACATGACCATGATTTAACTAAAATACATACTTGATATATAACCCTGCTGTTTCTTTCTGTCCAACATCTTTTGCTGCCAATTCTTCAATGCATTATTCTCATCTAATAACGGGTTCTGTGGTGGAACAGCTGATGATCTTTTCTTCTTTTCAAACTTTACGCTTGGTGTTCTAGGACGTAGATCAATCTCTTTTGCCTCAGGATAACTCTAAATACAGGAATATGATGAAGATAAAACAATATGAATTGACAATTTAAATAGAAAAGGAAATGATTATGTATTAGAAACATCTTTAAGAATTTACGTTGGTAACTGGCATTATTCCTGATAATCTTGTTAACAGTAAGTGTTGTAGTACAATTTCTTTCTGAGAGTCCTAGAGCGTCTTATCCGTTCAATACACAAATATATCTACTGTGTAACTGACACTCCCAGATCAAATGATGATGTTTATATAAACAAGCAGCCTGTTAGCTGTTAGCAATGCACATTTCAATTAAAGAACAGAAGATATCATTAGAAAATGAACAAATCTGAGAGAGGTCCACATGTAGTACCTATATATGTAATATCAAAGCAATTGGACTTGAGGTTTTTAACAAGAAGTCGAAAATATCACTTCTTACCAAAAATTACAAAAATATTCATCAAAATTAGAGAATTAAAGATATCATTACAAAATGAACAAATCTGAGAGGGGTCCACATGTAGCACCTATATATGTAATATCAAAGCAA